ACCAGGTGTTAATCTTTGATAACACCAGTAATAATTAAAACACAGTTGGCTAATAAAACCAAGGTACTTCTGTTCAAAAACCTTATCCTTCTAAAGTTATGACTAAAGATGACCAATCTGAAAATTAGAATATAAATACATTTTTCTGGATATTGGTCAAAGAAGCAGCTGAGATTGTGCTAGAAAAGGTATGAGAGAATGATCAGGAAATATTTCAGATTTTGAAGTAGAACTTCTCAACTAAAGTAAATATTGACTGATAGTATAGAAGTGTAGTTTAATTAAATGATTAAAACATACTTTACTGTATTTTATAATTGCAAGTCCCATAAGCCTCTTAAAAAAATAAATGAAAATTATTTCTCTAGTACAATGGAACAAATGTTTAAAATAGTTTTCTAATTAATGTACAATGTCTTCTTCAATATATTGCATGCAATATATTATTTGAAGTAATAATTTTATATTATTTCATTTTCTTTTTAAAGAACAGCTTTTTTTTTTTTTTTTTTTTTAGCCAATCCATAATTTAGTCAAGTAACTGTTGATAGTATTCTGTCTAGAAACTTTCAGTAATACAGAGAAAATTAAAATTCCAATTTGTTATTTTCCTAAAATTTTTGTAGGCAAAGAAGATTGGAAAAAAGAAATTGTAAATGGTTCTCGAAGCTTCTTTGTGTTAAAGGGTTTAACACCAGGAACAGCATATAAAGTCCGGGTTGGTGCTGAGGGCCTGTCTGGTTTTAGGAGTTCAGAGGATGTGTTTGAGACAGGTCCAGGTGAGGCACACCATACCAGTTCTGTATCGTAGTCAGAATTGTGGTAGACCAGGTGCTGCAACATTGAACCGCTTCTAGCTAAGAGATGTAGCTAGCATCTTTGCATGTTCTTTTTTTAGAGCAATGTTTAATTATTTTATAGACTCCTAAATAATGCCAGCACACTTATTATGCAGATTATGATTTTTTTCATCTTTTCAATTTACTCTAGCTGTCTGTTGTTTATATTAGGGATAAGATACTCATTGCTCACACTCCATCTGTGTGCTATGCACTGAAGATTACCTATTTCATTTATTTCTAATTGATATAATTAGATGGTTATATTTAAAAAACATGTACTTTAATAGAGCTAAGTATAGATTTTTAAAGCTAACATTGATAAGTTTTAATACAAAAAATATGAACTAATATGTTTGCGGAGTCAGAAGTGCAGATTCAATTTGATGTCTCTTGTAATCTATTTATACCAATGTTAAGAGATTTCTACCTGTAAATGTTTTGGTTTTTTTTTCCTGTCATATACTGGTTTTATATAGATTTTGATGTCACAACTATATCCTGTGAATCGGTAGGGCTGGTTAAGTTCCTTGCGTACATATTTCACTCATATTTCTTCATAAACAAACCAATAATGCCTGTTCTTTTAACTCAGAGAAAAGGCTTTATTGGAAGTTTTTTTTTATGTTATGCTGAATATCTCGTTGCCATCATAGCACATTCTTGGTCAGCTGTTATTATTTGTTGTGTATTTGCTAGCCACTTCTGCTCATTCCAAGCATTTTGGTCAGTGCATAGTTATTTAGCAGTAGCATCGCCAACTTCAGAATGTTATGATTTAAGAAAGTCATTTAAATATGAAAATATGCTTGAACAAGATGTAATAATTATCAGACAACAAAGCAAATAATGAACATGCCAGTTTCAATGTGAGCACTTTCTAAAATCATAATTTTTTTGCTTTGTTTTGTTCCATTCTGTTCACAGTTTATCGTGTTGCAGGGAAGCTTTGAAAACACGGTGCTGAATAACAGTGCCAAACAAATATGTATGGGCTAAATAAAGAGGTTACTTATGCCAGAGACAGCTAGTGGTATAAAAGGAGATATGTAAAATTTTATGCAAATATGCATCCAAAGCCTAAAGAAGCAGTAAAGCAAGGATCAAGACTATAGTATAATTCAAAACAAGCTGAATGGAAACCTTCCCAAAAAGCATCTCTCTGGTCTAAAAATACTGAGTCAATAGATAAGGAATCCTGTACGTACCCAGTCACCTTCACTCATGTCCTTGAATAGTGAAGGAAGAAGAGAATTTAAAGACACTCTTTTCTGCTTCTTGGTAATGGAAATGCTCAGTGTCCAGCATTAAATTATATACATAGCATATTTCTTACAGAAAAATGTTGTGTCACACTGTCTTCAGCCTACATCAAAGCTGTTAAACACTGTAAATAATGAAATGGACAGAGAGGAAAATACTGGAATATAGAATATGTGCTTAATTAGGGGTGAAATGTCAATATTTTGTATATGAGGCTTTTGCCACATTTTTTTCTTTGACAAGCATTCCTATAGAGCATCTTCATAGTGTGCAGATTTATCTTTTTGAGCTTATCAGTACAGTGTATTGCATTGACTCCTGCATTAGAAGTTCACCAAGGGTAAATGTCTTTCTACCTGAAGCAGATAATTTGCTTAATATAAGCAGGAAATGTTGTGCGATTTTTAAAGTTGCACTGATAAATCCTTTCCTACTGGATATGCAGTAAGTTAAAGAATACAGGAAGCTGCATAAGTCAGTTTTCACCTTTATTCTGTCCTATTTTTATGCATGAGTTGTTTTGCTTGATGCCGTTTCTTTCTACATTTGAATGTTAAATGGGCTTTTGCATTTTGTCACATTATGTATTATACAACCTTTAATGCCTTATTATAAATGCATATGTTGAAACCTCAAAATAATTTTAACCTTAATGTGGAAAAAAATATATTTTAATTCAATTTATAATTCAGGGGAAGATTGCCTTTGTGCCTTTGTGATTTTGTTTTTTTAAGAATCCCACATATATATATTTATATATGTATATATTTATATAAAGTATAAATACATATATATGTTATATATATCTATATAATGTGTAGACATTTTTATGCAAAAGTAGTTTATATTTGTGTGCATATAAGAAGCAATCAGTCTCCAAAATATCAGAAAGCATAATCTTCAGCAATAGCTGGGAAATCTCCTAATAGTAACTCCACAATAACCAGGCATATTCATTCATTGATCTGTTATAATGAAAATCAAGTCATAGCTTTGCCCAGTAAGACCAAAAAGAGTCAACAGAATAGAGTGAATTTTGTCCTAGTACTTCTGAAGTGGACTTTTATGGTCTTCTGTATGGAGTGCAGAGTAGATACTATCGCCAGACATCAGAGGTACTTTTGACCATTGAGAGCTGATCCTTTCAAGCTAACTGTCTCAGCCTTTGTCTTAACTGATAAATAACATTGAGAAGTGGGCTTGAATTCTGGCCTATAACTGAATATTGTTACATTTTATTGTTAGTGTGCTTGCCAGCCCAGTGCAGTCTCCTGTCAGCTAGCTGTCTGCCCAGCAAGACCCAGGTATTGTTCAAAGGACAGCACCAGCACAGGAAATTTGTCATTGAACATGTTTTGTAAGGGGAAGAGTTTATGCTTTGTCACCTGGAATTGTGGCTAGAAAAGTCAATGCTCCATCAAAAACAGATTCTCTCTGGGGTGTTTTTATGAGCCTTCCCGTGTAGATGTATCCTTTTCAAGGAGAGGTGGAAATCTTTACAGGGCTCTGGGACTTTCACATTTCTGTCTAAAGCTGTGAATGTGTTGTGTCCTTCACTTCAGTGTAAGCAAGTCTACAGACCTTCCCTAGCAAATATGAGTGAAACAGGTTGTACCATGAGAGCTGATATACTCACAGCATCCAAACAAAGAGTCTGGCTGAATGTCTCAAGCATAATATAGTCTTAGTGTGAAGTGTCTATTAAGCTGACATCTTAAGTACTGTTGATCCTTACTAAAATCCTAGGTAATTTACTGGCTGTGAATAATCCAATATCTTGTCTCATGAAGCCAGAAAAAACAACAAATGCTGAACCAAAATGCCACGAGTTATGTATAGGAAGTGTTTTGCATTCCTTATTCATGTGGGCAAGTGATCTTTTTCTCAATTTCCCAAATAGAGAGGTCTTTTGGGCAACTCTTCATAGCGTTTCAAACTCTTGGGTATTGGGGCTGGAGGAGAAAGTGAAGAATGAACAAGATAGGTTTGGACAGATGTTCATCTTCCTCCACTTCATGTCGTCTAATGTCTCCAGCACACATTCCGAACTCCTCTCATCCTTCCCACTTTTTCCCAACAGCAAATCCTAAGGCCAGTTGCCTGTAGTGTGTTTCCAAATAGGGGAGTAGAAAATAAGCTTCACCAGGAAAATTCAGCCCCCCAACCACACAGATAGTTCTTTTCCTTATTAGTGACTGTAATGTTTCCTGTGTGGTTTGCTTATAATTTACATTATCTTCCAGCTAGAGTCAGCATTTGGAGAGAAACAGTGCCAAGGAAAGGCTTTCCAATTGCACTGTGTTAAGAACTCACTAATGCTAATTCATGGCAATCATGATAAATTGAAGCATGAGGTACAGGTTTGAGGAGAGGAAGAAAACATGATGCTTAATAAGGCTTTAAAGGATGCTTCATTTTTGATTTTGAGTTGAAATTGAATGTTAGGGTCTTGAATGACCCATCTGTTTCGCCGTTTCAGACTAATAAGAGTGCATTAGCTAATGAGTATTGGCTTTTTAGTCATTTTGAGAATACAATCGACATGTTTGCATGAATTATAATTTGCAATTTTATTTCAGTAGTTTAATTAAGGTGAAATGGTTGAGAATGGTTTTGAGGTTTGTGGAAAGCAACATAGTATGCACACAGGTTTTACAAAGTAGTTGCTAAGCATAAATGTTGGCAGAATTCTTATATACTCAAAAGTAAGCACATGTACTTAGAAAAACTTAATGAAGATACTAACAAAATACAGTACCACTGTTTTTCTTAATACTAATTTTCACAGTGAATCTTATTCCTTAATTAATGAACAATGTATACTGGCTATTATTTATTTGAATTAGCACAGCATTTAAATGCAGCAAAACATTTAATTTTTCTTCTTTTATTCTTTAGCAATGGCAAGTCGGCAGGTAGACATCGCTACTCAAGGATGGTTCATTGGTCTTATGTGTGCTGTTGCTCTTCTCATCTTGATTTTACTGATTGTTTGCTTCATAAGGAGGAATAAGGGTGGCAAATATCCAGGTATGATATATAACAATGAGAGTAAAAATAGTCTCCTGATAATCCATTAAGACAGATCTCACTGGAGAAATTACATTTGCTGCTGGTGTATATGGCAAATCAGTCTTATAATTTGGTAGGCTTGTCAGGAGCAATCTCCCTATTGATAGAAAACCTTAGTCCATTTAAGCATAAGAAAAGTGTCTCCTGCATTCCTGGGAGGGTTACTGAGAAGTTTGAGCTTTGTTAGAGATATTTGGCCCTTCCACCTCACTTTCTGAAGTCTAATCCAGATGGGTTTAATGCACTAAAATGAGCTGAGTTAGAATTTAATTGGTCAGGAAGTGTGGAAACATGTACCAGATCATAACCGCCGTTTTACTTCAATGCACTGGGAATGCATTTCATAGAACAAATTCCTTCATACATTATTTTGTTTCAAATACGTTACCCTGCTCAGAATCTATGTTGTCTTCATGCTTTGCATTTTTTGTAGCCAAATTTGAACTTACTATCTTTCAGTTAAGCTGAGGGTTTTTTATATAAGGTTTTTTTTTCTTTTTATTTTTTGGGGTTGGCTTTTTTTTAGTATTAGGCCTAGGAACAAGCAGGTATATTTTATAAATTGAAATTAAATTTGGAACTATGCAAGGTACAGCTATCAAAACTCTGATTCTTCTGGGTGTACATATTGTAAAAAGCATATGTGTGTATATGTGTTTACATATGTGTATGTGTGTCTTATACGTATCTTTCCCCAGACTTGTATTTGTGTTCATGGAGTAGGTCCATAGACTAAAGCTCTCTTGAAAAGGATAGTGACAGCCAGTTTGCATAGAATGGTAGTACTACCTCACAAGATCTCAGAGTAGCCATGAGGTATGAGTGGGTATAGAATGGACTTCAACTGGACATCAAAGGATAATTTGATTTTTATTTTTCCTCTCCTACCTACAATAGAAAGTAAAATTGCTAAGTTTCAAGTAAAATCTCGATTTCAGGAAAAAATTCTGTTCTGTATTACAGACTCCAAAGGTTTGGAAATTATATAAATATCCAGAGTCTGAAATGCTTATTTAAAGTAAACTCAAACTGCTTGAAGTTTGTATTATTCATTTGGATGTGAAAAAGATGCACAAACTTACAAAAGTACAAAACAAAATAAATCCACACTGTTTTAATTTCTCCTGCTTGTTTTGATCAGTGCTCTTCTGAAGACTAGTGTCAGTAAACACTTAGAAGTTTTCCTCTTCATAGGTGAATCTTTTTCTAGCTGAACTTAGCGTGCAGTTTATTTTTATAAGGTGATAAAACATGTACTTATTAAGTACAAGTATCCTACTCTGCTCAATCTAACTGTTTAATTTTTTATGAAGAAAGCAAAGATTTGTAGTGACAGCAAAAATTAAGTAAGAGAAGCTTCTGTGCCAGCTGTCTATGCCCTTGGAAAAAAGACCATTGATTAAAAAAGTGTTACATACAAGTTGAATGACAGGCTGAAGACATCTTAGGTTTTTCCCTAATATTTGTATTTTTTAAAGAGAAAATTAGATTACAGAGGATACAGGAAAAGGGACTCTTAGTGGAGATAACTGAGAAAAGAGGAGAATTAGGTGGATGAAACAAGTGGTGAAGTGATGGAACTGAAGAGTAGGGGAGACTTGGAGTGAACCACCATCTAGAAGAGAGTAAACCACAGTTTGAGTAAAAGTGTAGAAGGCAGTTGGATGCTAAGCTTGGCATTACTTTGTGGACATCCCTGCTATGCCCTTCTTTTCTCTGCTTCTGCAGCATTACTAGACATAAGGTATTGCATTTATGCACACGTATATATGCATACACATATAGCAACATGCTATCAATTGAGTAGATATGGTAGACCTTGACTGTATATAAGATTTCCAGGTTCAGTATGAACTCTTTTTATTGCAGTGACTCTAGAGGTAATTGTATCACAGAATCACAGAATGTTAGGGAT